TGCTGCAGATTCCAGAGTGGAGGGGCGCTCACCCAGCTGGGCGTTGCATGGGCAGTGCGATGTCCGCAGCGCGGGGTGCTACGCATGGTGCCGCGCTGTGCTGTGCCCGATGTGCGTGCTCGCCGAGCTGCCGCGCCGTTGCGTGCTGAGGGTTGACGGTTTGTCCATGTTCCCGTATGCGGTGGGGGGCAGCATATTGGCGCAGCGGAGGCGCAGGCACATTTTGTTGGATTATCCCGCGTGGTTCGGTACGGCAGAATGATCTTCGCTGCGTTCTGCATTGCGTTGTCAGGGGCGCGCTGCAGTCCGAGTGGCTCGTTGCAATCTCGGGGGGCCCGCTGATCGCGCGGAGGTCCCGTGAATTTCCAGGCGTGGTTCCAGTGCCTTTGCATCGGTGTGCACTGCTTCGCTTCGGGCGCGCGTTGCAGTTCCGTGATGCGCGCGCTGCCGTGCAGTGTTTGCTGTGGCGTGGTGCCCGCGTTGCGGTCCATGGACTTGACCTGCTTGTCCCCTGGCTCTGTTGTCGTTGCGTTGTACTTCGCGGTGTTTTGCGCTGCGTTGCTACGGGAACGCGCAGCGGTCCGATGGGTCCGCTTTGTGGGAATCCACTTGGTGATGCTCGTGCTGGCTTCCTAGTTATTCTTGCATTTTAATAAAGGCATCCTTTGATTTCGCAGCGATCGTGTGGTCTATTGCTTGGCTATTATTCGTGCTCGTTTTCGAATTGCTTTTGGATTGTGGTACTGAACTGACATTCTTCGATTTCATATTCGTGCTTGTTTTCCAATTGCTTCTGGATTGTGGTACTGACATTCTTCGGTTTCACAGCCATCGTGTGTTCTGCAGCTTGGCTATCCGGGTTTTGGACAACAACAGGTGGAGGCTGCCAAGTGGACGCTGCCAAGTTGGTCGTTTTTGCAATCCTTGTGCAAAATTTAAAAGTTTGTTTTGGGAACCGGTATTTTTCTCATCTGTAGTGGCTTGTGCCGCGTCTGCCAGTGAAATTCTCAGGTCCGTAGCTGCAATATTACTATGAAGAGACTTGAGGGGACCGTCGGCCGTTTGGAGCATCTTGAGGCGCGCTGACGGTTTTGTGTACTTCTCAAGATTTAGGAGATGTGCAGAGCTGCTACTTACACAAACCGATTCAGAATCATCAGACGCGTTTCTCTGTTCCATCGAGAGGTCTGAATTCGGTTTGCTACTCGAGCTAATCCGCGAAATTATTCGTATTATACAAGTGTACAAGTGATCTGAGAGGTGCTGTCGGTTCCCCACTTGAATCAACGGACTTTCGGTGAAAGCTCAATTGCGTAATTTCTAAAGCTCTTTAGCTCAGGCGCAAGAAAGCTTTTTCCATGTGTTCCAAGCAGCGTCGTGCAGACAAGAGCTCTACAAGGCTCCTGGCGGTAACCTGGTTGACGGTCTACCGCCGGCTCCCAATTGGACCACCCGACCCGGGCGGACAAAGTGACAACTTAACTCGTAGAGCTTCCCTTAGCAAGTTATTGCTGGAAGCTTAAGAGTAATTCCGGGGCGCTGGAGAGCTAGTTGGCAAGAAAAATCTCGACGGACCTTTTGGTGACTTTTGGTCGGTTGAAAATTTTGTTATCGAAACAACTCGTAGAGCTTCCCTTGGCGAGTTGTTGCTGGAAGCTTAAGAGTAATTTCGGGGGGCTGGAGAGCTAGTTGGCAAGAAACATCTCGATTTGCTGACTTTTGGTCGGTTGAAAATTTCGTTCTCGGAATTCCACGATTCGCTAGAGCTCTAGTATGTTTTCCCGCGATATTCGATCTTATTCCCGCTCGCCATTTTGATGTCAGCTCGATCGGGTACGTTTGACTGCAAAAAGCGTCCAGGCGGGATCGGCCGTTTCGAGTCATCTTGATACGCGCTGTCGGTATATTGGACTTAACTCGAGATACAGGACCTCTACAGAGCTGGTAAGCACGTCTCATCGATTCAGAATGATCAACGCGTTTGTCTGCTGCATCCAGAGGTCTGAACTTGGTCTGCTAGCCGAGCTAGGTCCGCAACCCTATTCGTATTATTCGGGTCATCTTGACAGGCGCTCTCGGTTTGCGGGACTTAAAAGTCCAGCTATATAACAGCTACAGAGCTGATACATACAGAAACCGATTCAGAATCATCAGTCGTGTTTGTCTGTTGAATCCAGAGCTCTGAACTCGGTCTGCTGTCCGATCTAGAATCGCGAAACTATTCGTCTTCTTCGAGTCATCTTGAGAGGTGCTGTCGGTTTTTCTGTACTTAACTCGAGCTGTAGGGACCCTACAGGGCTGACAGTCACAGGCTCGATTTTGAGACATCAGACGCGTCCGCATGTCGCATTCAGAGGTCTGAACTCGGTCTGATTCTCGAGCTAGGTTCGCGAAACTATTCGTATTGTTCGAGTCTTCTTGGGAATTGCTGTCGATTTTCGTGACTCTGTAGGAGAGCTACAGAGCTCGTGCGCACAGAAAACGATCCAGAAGCATCAGGCGGTGGGCTGTTGCATCGAGAGGTCCGAAATCGCTCGGGCTGAAAAACTATTCGTTCTCTGCAATTTTTTCGACATTATATATGATCAGGAAGCTCTACGAGTCTCCCGGCGGTAAGAAAGGTTGACGGTTTACCGCCGGCGCCCAGTTCAACCATTCGTTAGAGTTTTAGTATTTTTTCCCGTGATATTCGATCTCATTTCCGCTCGCCATCTTGATCTCAGCTCGATCGGGTACCTTTTACTGCCAAAAAGCGTCCAGGCGGGATCGGCCGTTTCGAGTCATCTTGATACGCGCTGTCGGTATATTGGACTTAACTCGAGATACAGGACAGCTACAGGGCTGGTAAGCACACCTCATCGATTCAGAATGATCAGGCGCGTTCGTCTGTTTCATCTAGAGGTCTGAACTCGGTCTTCTAGCCGAGCTAGGTCCGCAAACCTATTCGTATTATTCGAGTCATCTTGACAGGCGCTCTCGGTTTTCTGTACTTAACCCGAGCTATATGACAGCTACAGAGCTGAAGTTTACAGAAACCGATCCAGAGGCATCAGTCGCGTTTGTCTGTTGAATCTAGACCTCTGAACTCGGTCTGCTGCCCGCTCTAGAATCGCGAAACTCTTTGTATTGTTCGAGTTATCTTGAGCGGTGCTGTCGGTTTTCTGTAGTTAACTCGGGTTGTGGGGGGGCTAGAGTGCTGGTAGTCACAGGAATCGATTTGGAGACATCAGGCGCGTCCGCCTGTCGAATCCAGAGCTCGGAACTAGGTTCGCGAAACTATTCGTATTGTTCGAGTCATCCTGAGATGGGCTGGTAATCACAGGATTCGATTCGGAGACATCAGACGCGTCCGCCTGTCGCATTCAGAGGCCTGAACTTGGTCTGATACTCGAGCTAGGTTTGCCAAACTATTCGTATTGTTCGAGTCATCTTCAGGGTTGCTGTCGATTTACGCATGTAACTCGGGCTGTAGGAGGAGCAACAGAGCTCGTGCAGAAGACAATCCAGAAGCATCGGGGGCGTTCGGCTGTTGCATCGAGAGGTCTGAAATCGCTTGGGCTGATAAACTACTCGTGCTCTGCAATTTTGTTTTCGACATTATATGTTATCAGGAAGCTCTACGAGTCCCCCGGCGGTAAGAAAGGTTGACGGTTTACTGCCGGCGCCCGGTTTGGTGCTTTTGCGAATAACTCGTGGAGCTTCCCCTAGCAAGTTACCGCTGGAAGCTTAAGAGTAATTCCGGGGCGCTGGAGAGCTAGTTGGCAAGAACAATCTCGACGGACCTTTTGGTGACTTTTGGTCGGTTGAAAATTTTGTTCTCGAAATTCAACAATTCGTTTGAGCTCTAGTATTTTTTCCCATGATATTCGATCTTATTTCTGCTCGCCATCTTGATCTCAGCCCGATCGGGTACCTTTCACTGCCAAAAAGCAGGCAGGCGGGATCGGCCGTTTCAAGTCGTCCTGACATGCGATGACGGTTTTCTGAACATGACTCGATCTTTAGGAGAGCTACAGAGCTGATAAGCACAGCTAATCGATTCAGAATGATCAGGCGCGCTCGCCTGTTGAATCCAGAGGTCTGAACTCGGTCTGCTAGACGAGCTAGGCCCGCAAACCTAGTCGTATAATTCGAGTCGTCATCTCGACAGACGCTCTCGGTTTTCTGTACTTAACTCGAGCTATAGGTCAGCTGCAGAGCTGTTTTTTACAGAAACGGATTCAGAATCATCAGTCGCATTTGTCTGTTGAATCCAGACCTCTGAACTCGGTCTGCTGCCCGATCTAGAATCGCGAAACTAGTCGTATGGTTCGAGCCATCTTCAGAAGTGCTTCCGGTTTTCTGCACTCAACTCGGGCTGAGGGGGGCTACAGTGCTGGTGGTCACAGAAATCGACTTGAAGACATCAGGCGCGTCCGCCTGTCGAATCCAGAGCTCGGAACTCGGTCTGCTACCCGAATTAGGTCCGCGAAACTATTGTATTGTTCGAGTCATCGAGTCATCCTGAGAGGTGCTGTCGGTTTTCTGCACTTAACTCGGGCTGGGCTGGTAATCACAGGAGTCGATTCGCAGCTACAGAGCTCGTAAGGGGGCGTTCGGCTGTTACATCGAGTGGTCTGAAATCGCTTTGGCTGAAAAAATATTCGTTCTCTGCAATTTTTTCCCAAATTATATATTGTCAGGAAGCTCTACGAGTCCCCCGGCGGTAAGACAGGTTGACGGTTTACCGCCGGCGCCCAGTATTTGAAATATATTTGACTATTCATTTTGAGAAAGCAGATTTTTCGCACCTGTGGACGACTATGAGGGCCTCTGCGTCTCAATATGAGCTCTCGAGGTGCACTTTTACTATCAAAACACTTGGCGAAACCAACTTCATGTCCACATAGAAAAAATCATGTCTTCTCTTTTTCGAGAAATGCTTCCAGAAGCCCTCTCTTTTGATGCTGTGCACTCTTGCGAGTGCAAGGAGCTCTACGAGGTTCCCCGCGGTAACCAGGTTGGCTCAAGGCTCAAGGCTCCGCAAACGTTCATTTTCTCCTGCCTGGGGAACCTCCGCGAAGGTGAACGTTGAGCTAGCGTGTTGTTTTGCTCTGCTTACGCAACTGCCCATCTCCCTGTACATCTTGCTTGTCATTGTTGGCCTCTCATATTCATTTCTCGTTGCGGTTCGGCGGTGGCAATTTGTATACGCTGACTTGTTCCTCACTGCCCAGAGTGGTGCTCGTAAGTCTCGGTTCTTTCAGATCTGCCTTGAGTGGATTGCATATTGTTCAATTTGCAGTATATCATTGTTGTGTCTCTCAGGTGTCCTCACACATCTCCCCTCAGTTTTCTGCCATATACCTATCATTTGTGGTCTTGTTTGTGCCAGATGCCTCATGTGCGGAGTCTCGCATCCAGGTGTTTGCGTCGGGCTCGGGCTTGTCAACTTAGATGGGTTCGACCGAATTGTCCTCTTCCGTTGGTGCTCGAAGGCCTAGTCGCCCGCGACACGGTCTTGCATGCAGAGTTGGATGCTCAGGCGAATGAGTTGTTGACAGCATTACTCCATCCCTCTGATAGCTGCCCGATAGTTGATTCCGTTGCACTTCGCGGTTTTTCTTCTGCTATTGATGCTGGGGTCCAGGTTGACGAGGTCGAACATCCTTTTCAAAGCATTCGAGTATTTTCAATTGATGCTGGTGTCCAGGTTGACGAAGTGCACTCCCCCTTTCAAAGCATTCGAGTGTCTTCAATGGATGCTGAGGTCCAAGTGAATTCTCAAAGCATTCCAGTTTCTTCAATGGGTGCCGGCGTGCAAATTCAGTTCACTTGCGAGGACGCCTGTGTGCAAACTCAGTTCACTCCAATGGATGCTGGCGTGCATACTCAGTTCACTTTGAAGGACGCCTGTGTGCAAACTCAGTTCACTTTCCAGGACGCCGACGGGAATAGTGTTAAATTGCGCCTTCATGAGTCAGGTGACAACGCACTTACGATTACACACTCTGCCGAAGTCCAGAAACATCGATTCAAAAATTCCGGACTTCGGAATGCTTGTGCAGCCTCTTGTGGGAAGGATGTGCAGGCAGTGGTCTCATCTTCTTCTGACATGTATGCAGTTCTTTCATCTTCTTCTTCTGATGTGAAGGCAGTGGTCTCATCTTCTTCCGATGTGAAGGCAGTGGTCTCACCTTCTTCGGACGTGTATGCAGTTCTTTCATCTTATCCTCTGGAGCCCTTTGAAGCCGGCTGTCAGACAGAGAGTGTTTTTGGGATGGAGGGAGAAGCTTCAGGAACTGTTCTTGGGGAAGTGACGGAGGAGGCGGAGGAGGAGTTGGAGGCAGTATCCGATGTCACGCTCGCTGTGGTATCGAACCCTGGCTGTGCGCAGAGTGCTTCTTTGGCTGATGTAAGGGCTCACTCGTTGGTTCCCGTGGTACCTCTTTCGAGTGCAGAGTTTTCTTCGACGCCCAAAGTGCAGGCAGATTCCGATGTCACGCTCAATGTTGTATTGAATCCAGGCTGTGTCCCCACTTATGATATTGAGTTCCCTGCGCCGCGGGAATTGGTGACGTGCTGCGCAGATGATGTACACGATACTTGGGTGCCTAAATGTTTCATTGTTGGTGCTTGGAGGGAGGCTGCGAGTGGCGAGAGTCTCCAGGACGTCCTCCACCCAGAGAGCGGGTATGCGGGTTATGCTGGTCTGAGTGAGTCTCTTGGGACGCCGTTGGAGGGTTTTCTCCTTATGGGCGCTGAGAATGAGTTCAAGTGTATCCGCAGGGTCAGCAAGTCCGAGGTGGGCTCCATTCTTGCGGCGTCCCCAGAGGTCCAACGGCACCCACTGTATGTTGACTTGGGATGTGCGAAGTTCTTCGACCCTTTCACAGTGGTCGTGCGCACGTATGTCGCTATGGGGGACGTCATTTGCGGTGCGAAGTTACTACATATGCGACTCGCCGACGTCCTTCCCCTGCTCGGTATGCTGCACAATGCTGTCTCAGTCGAGGAGGCGGTGCGGAATCCGCAAATGTCCAGTGCGAGATTTGAAGAACTGGAGTGGTCGTACATGGACCTGTGCCATATGCCTGCACCATCGGAGCTTATGGATTTCGACTGGCATCCATACGGCTGGACTTATGATGAGATGTGTGCCTTTTACTTTTATCCTGCGCCACATGAGTATTGTGTAATAGGCTACTCGTAATCTTCTTTCTGCCCTGCTTTCCCCTTAACTCCGATCGTTGAAACGTTGCCTGACCTTCAAAGGAGGTTCACTGTGTAGGTGTGCCGCCTGAACGCTTTGTGCGTTGCCCGTTCGCTGCGTTCGCTGCTTCGGGACTCGTTCTCCTCCAGCTGCTTTACAGCTGGTGCACAGGAGCGCAAACAAACAAACAAACCAGGGTGACGCTTTACCGCCGGCGCCAGTGGCTCTCCGGATTTTGGATGCTACCAAGTACCTCGTAGAGCTCTTCGTTCGACATCGATGAGCCAGAGAAATTCCGGCGCGGGGTGGAGCTAGTTGGTCGACCCGGCCAGAAAGGACAATGTGATAACTTTTGGGTGGTTTTGCGAATATTTTTTTGAAAGATATTTGATCATTTATTTTAAGAAAGTAGATTCTCCGCACCTGTAAACGACTATGAGGGCCTCTGCGTCTTGATATGAGCTCTGTAGACGCACTTTTACTATCAGAACACTTGGAGCAACCATCTTCATGTCGACATGAAAAATGAATGTTGCCTTTTTTGAGAAATGCCTCCAGAAGCTCTCTCTTTCGACTCTGAGCACTCTCACGCGTGAAAGGAGCTCTACAAAGGTTCCCGGCGGTGACCAGATTGACGGTTCACCGCCGGCGCAGTGGTCGGCTGAAAATTTTGTTTCGATTCAACAATTCGTTTGAGCTCTAGTATTTCTTCCCATGATTTTCGATCTTATTCCTGCTCGCCATCTCGATCTCAGCTTTCCTTACTGCCAAAAAGCAGGCAGGCGGGAATCGGCCGTTTCAAGTCATCTTGATCCGCACTCTCGGTATATTGAGCTTAACTCGAGATACAGGACAGCTACAGAGCTGGTAAGCACACTTCATCGCTCCAGAATGATCAGGCGCGTTTGCCTGTTGCATTAAGAGGTCTGAACTCGGTCTGCTAGCCGAGCTAGGTTCGCAAACCTTTCGTTATTCGAGTCATCTTGACAGGCGCTCTCGGCTTTCTGTACTTAACTCGAGCTATACGACAGCTACGGAGCTGATAATCACAGAAACCGACTCGGAATCATCAGTCGCGTTCGTTTGTTGAATACAGAGCCTGAACTCGGTCTGCTGCCCGATCTAGAATCGCGAAATATTTGTATTCTTCGAGTTATCTTGAGAGGTGCTGTCGGTTTTCTGTACTTAACTCGGGCTGTAGGGAGGCTGCCTGGTAGTCACAGGAATCGATTTGGAGAAAACAGGCGCGTCCCCTTGTCGAATCGAGAGCTCGAAACTGGGTCTGCTGCCCGAGCTAGATCCGCGAAACTGTTTGTAGTATTCGAGTCATTCTGAGAGGTGCCGATTTACGCACGTAACTCCGGCTGTAGGATAGCTATAAGCTCGTGCAGAAGACAATTCAGAAGCATCCGGGGCTTCCGTGGGCTGAAATACTATTCGTTTTCTGCATTCTTCGATGTTATATATTGTCAGGAAGCTCTACGAGTCTCCCGGCGGTAAGGAAGGTTGACGGTTTACCGCCGGCGCCCAGTTGGTCGATCCGGCCAGAAAAGAAGAGGTGATAACTTTGAGTCCGTTGTGCTAAGATTTGAAAGACTTGGCGAAACCAACTCTATGGCGACACGAAAAACATATATGTTCGTTCTTTTGAGAAATGCCTCTAGAAGCTCTCTCCTTCGGCTCCGAGCACTCTCATGCGTGGGAGGAGCTCTGCGAGGTTCCTGGCGGTGACCAGGTTGACGGTTCACCGCCGGTGCCAGTTGATCGACCCGGCCAGAAAGGATATGTGGCAACTTTGGGTCGGTTTTGCTAAGATTTGAAAGATATTAGACGATTTATTTTCCGAAACCAGATTCTTCGAAACCAGGTCAGTGCTGCAGTATTTCTATCAAAACACTTGGGGGAACCGACTTTGGATAAAAACATTAAAAACGTATATTTTCTAGTTTTTTAGGTCTTGCTCGAGACGCTTTATACCTCGTAGAGCTCGTCGTCATCGATGAGCTAGAGGAATTCCGGCGCGGGGTGGAGCTTGTTGGGCGACCCGACCAGAAAGGACAAAGTGGTAACTTTTGGGTGGTTTTGCGAATGTTTGAAAGATATTTGACCATTTATTTTGAGAAACCAGATTTTTCGCACCTGTGAACGACTATGAGGGCCTCTGCGTCTTGATATGAGCTCTTTAGGCGCACATGTACTATCGAAACACTTGGGGGAACCAACTTCATCTCCACATGAAAAAAATGAATGTTCAATTTCTCGAGAAATGCCTCCAGAAGCTCTCTCGTTCGACTCTCAGCGCTCTCACGCGTCGAAGGAGCTCTACGAGGTTCCGGCGGTGACCAGGTTGACGGTTCACCGCCGGCGCCAGTTCATGTCTACCGAGGAGCGCCGTGTCAGAAAAGAGCTCTACAAGGGCGCGGCGGTATCCTGGTTGACGGTTTGCCGGTCCCAGTCGATGAGCTAGAGGAATACCTCGTAGAGCTCTTCGGCAAGATGAGCTAAGAGGAATTCGGGCGCAGGGTGGAGCAAGTTGGCCGACCCGACCTTAAGAGACAATGTGTTAAGTTTGGGTCGGTTTGTTAATCTTTTTGCAAAATTTGAAAATTCGTTTTGAGAACCGGTATTTTTCTCACCTGTACTGGGTTATGCCGCACTTGCCAGTTAAATTTTCAGGTCCGTAGCTGCAATATCACTGTTAAAACACTTGCTGGAACCAACGGCTGTTTCGAGTCAACTTGACACGTGTTGACGGTTTTCTGTGCTTATCTCCAGATTTAGGACAGCTACAGAGCTGATACTCACAGAAACCGATCCAGAATCATCAGGCGCGTTCGTCTGTTCCATCGAGAGCCTGAACTCGGCTGTTGCCCGAGCTAGGTCCGCAAACCTATTCGCATTCTCGAGTCATTTTGACGCGTGCTATCGGTTTTCTGTACTTAACTCACGATTTAGAATATCTACAGAGCTTGTACGCACATGAGAGGATTCTGTATCATTCGGCGCGTCCGTCTGTTGCATCGAGCGGTCTGAACTCGGTCTGCTAGAGCTAGGTCTGCAAACCTAGTTGTATTCTTCAAGTTCTCTTTGCAGGCGCTGTCCGTCTTTTGCGCTTGACTGAAGCTGTAGAAGAGTTGCAGAGCTGGTACAGAAACCGATCCAGAATCATGAGGGGCGTTCGGCTGGAGCCTCCAGAGCTCTGAACACAGTCTGCTACCCCGAGCTAGGTCCGCAATCTATTGGTATGCAACCGATTTTTTTTTCGAACCGATGGTGTTTTTTTCCACTGAACTCGAGCTGCGATGAGCTTGAGAGCTCTTTCGCACAGAAATCTTGATGACAACTCCCTTAATGTGTACTGGGCAGCCCCGCGCGAGAAAAGTGCTCTACGAGGCTCCCGGTGGTAACCTGGTTGACGGTATACCGCCAGCTCCCAGTTCCGGCGGGGGTGGAGCTAGTCGCTCGTAGAGCTCTTCGGCATTGATGAGCTAGAGGAATCGGGCGCGGGGTGCAGCTAGTTGGCCGACCCGGTCCCGACGGACAATGTGTGAACTTTGTGTCGGTTCGACGAACTTTGTGAGAGATTTGAACATTCGTTTTCAGAACCGGTATTTTTCGCACCTGTAGTGGGTTTTTTTCGCGTTCGCCAGTCAAATTCTCAGGTCCGTAGGTGCAGTATTGCTATCAAAACACTTGGCGGAACCGTCTTTGGACGAAACAATAAAAACGTGTTTTTTCTTGTTTTTTGGGTCTTGCTCCAGACTCTTTCTGCATGTGTACCCAGGAGCGCCTCGCGAGAGATGAGCTCTACGAGGGCTCCGGCAGGAACCTGGTTCACGGTGTACCGCCGGTTCTCATTGGTCGACCCGACCAGAAAGGACAAAGTGGTGACTTTGGGTAGGTTTTGCTCAGATTTGGAAGATGTTTGACAATTCATTTTGAGAAAGCAGATTTTTACGCCGAGCATTGGCATACAAACTTTGTTCCCTCAGCAGCTCAGCTCTCTAGAGCCAGTTTAGTACCAGTTCACTTCCGGGAACCGAATTCATGTTGCCTCCGAAAAATCTCAGTTTGACGTTTTTTTAGAAAAGCTCCCAGAAGCTCTCCGCTTCGATCCTGAGCTTCCTTACGGGTGCAAGGAGCTCTACGAGGTTCCCGACGGTGACCAGGTTGCTGCTGTCCCTCCTCGGGGATCTCAGCGGTGGCCTGGCCCGTCGGTGGCTTCCTCAAGCCTGTCTCCTCAGGCTGCCCCCTGGGCGGCCGTCTGCGCGCGGGCGGGCCGTGCAATAAATTCGGGTACTTAGTCGGCTGCGACGACCTTCTCTCCTTGGGCCTACAGACGATAGGTGCTGGAGGCCAGCTCTGTTTGGCATCAGAAGTGGGACTGACTTCAACGCATAGGCCGCCGTCGTCGCTCTGTACTTGTTTGTACTGCCTGCTTGCGCTTTCTCCATTATTGTTCTTGCACACGTGTGTATTCTTTGACATTGAGGTGCTTTGACAGTTCTGTGACATTGGAGTATCTTGAGATTGAGGTTCTCTGCATTGTATCGGCGTGCCTGTTTTCATTCTTTCTTTGAATCGTATCGATCAGAATTCAAGATACTTGAGTGCGTTATCAGACATTCAGTTATGCAGGTGATTCAAGATACTGAGTGCGTTATCAGACATTCAGTTATCCGAAGGTTACTTCTTGAGTGCGTTATCAGTCATTCAGTTATCACATATTTGACGTGAGCATACGACTCTTGTCTTACCGCGGGTTGTTACGACATATTTCGGCTTTGTGTTTGCGTTGACTCTTGCCATGCTGTGTGTGTGTCGGACATGCGCGCATGTTGGTATAAGAGCTCCGCGTGATCTTCACTTTGTTCGGAGTAAGAGTTTTGCATTTGCCCACTCCCGCTCAAAGAGTGGTGGGTGTCTTGCCTGACTCTGTGCACAGTCGACCGCAAATTCGTTGTGTTTCACGTGCATGGTCTTCAGTGGTGCTGAGACGGTAATCGCTATATGTGGTTACTCCATGGTCTCGCATTGCTTTGAAGTGTACTCGTCATTTTAGTTGTTAGTTTTGTGTTTGTCTCAGTGGTGTTGAGACGGTAATCGCTGTATACACCAGTGGTTACCGTATGGTCTCTCACTGCTTCTTTTCTCAGTGGTGCTGAGACGGTCATCGCTGTATGTGGTTAC